GGTGATTCCCGTAGCTCTAGCTAGCGAATGATCAGGTCTTCCTCTTTGTTTCTTTATTGGTTGATTCTTTTTTTTTTGCTTTTGGTTCTGGGCTGTGCCATGTTATTTGATCTGGCACATGTGGCCAAGACTTGGTTGGCTAAATTGCATTGGAATGACGGTTGGGGGGCTATTGTTGGCATCATTCTATAAAGGGATCCGTATTTGTGTGCTAGTGGCTCGTTTGAAGATTCTATGTGTGTCTAGTGTTTGGAGTATTTTGTTTGTGTTTTGTTTCCACGATTTGTTATTATGGAGATGATTACCAAGAATTATAGTATGATATCCATTGCTAAGGAAGAGAACGAGGGGCTAATACTCGCAGCATATCGTGAAGGGAGTGCTGATGTGGCGGTTGAGGGAACCTCTCTTTCAGTTGTTGCCAAAGTGGTCTCAAACAAACCCATTCGTGTTATTTCGATGTGGAAAACAATGGCTATGGTTTGGCGACTGGTTCGAGGAGTTTCAATTGATGAGATCGGTGACTCCAAATTTTTACTGCAATTTTACCACGAAGGAGATCTGAGCAGAGTTGTTGAGGAAGGGCCTTGGTCCTTCAAACAAAATTTGGTGGTAATTAGGCGTGTGGGGCGAACTAACATACCCCTCAAGATCCCATTAGATCATGCTGATCTGGGTTCAGGTGCATAACTTACTGCTAGGATACATGACAGAAAGAGCAGCGCGAGGGAATATTGAGAATAGTATTGGATCTTTTGTGCAAGTGGATGAAGGCTCACTTGGTGGAAAGCAAAGATTGGTTATGCGTATTAGAGTCACTATCAATATCAATGTGGCTCTGATTAGGCGCTTACAGGTTCGACAAGATGGTGATAAATGGATATGGGCAGACTTTCGCTATGAGAGACTTCCGAACTTCTGCTTCCCGTGTGGGATCCTTGGTGATGCAGACCGTTTTTGTATGGTTATGGGCTAATAAGAGGCGGAGTGGTACACATTCGAGCAACATATGGTTGATACATAGCAATAGTAGACCAGAGACAAAAAAGATGATGGGGTGGCATCGTGCATAGCTCCATTTGAGCAGGAAAGCTACGTAGTGGAAGGTCTTCTCTCGAAGGGTAGTAAGGAAATGGATACTACCCAAGAAGAGCCAATGAAACGCATTATCATTGAGCTGGTTAGTGCGGAGGGGGTTCAAGCAAGTATATGGATGTGGATGAAGAGAACCCAAAAACTTGCAAGTGGAGGTTCTGTCTGGAAAGCACCGCCAGTAATCGGTGAGCGTGACTCCAAATATGAGTCTCATCCCAGTGTAGCCTTTGAGATGACAAATTTGTATTTGTTTTTGCCCTTTATTAATAATAATTAAGTTTCCTTTTACCAAAAAATGTGAGAGTATAAAGGTACTTTTATTGATAAAACTTACTAAAAATGAAAGAGAAAAATAAAATAAAAAACTCCCAAAAGGGAATATGAGACAATTAATAAAGAATGAAGTGATTAGTAGTTCATTAGGTATACCTCTTTCCAGGGCTATATTTAATTCCAATGTCTACTCTTATTTTTTGAAATTTTATACTTCAAAGATTTTTTTCAATGTGTTTCAATGAGCATATAAAAAATCCACGAGATTATTCTATTAGTATATGTTTTGTTAAGCTATCGTTGATAGTGATTATAATTATATGAGTTTTAGCGATACATAATGATGTAATCATTTCAAGTCTTAAAATCATATCACATGTACTTTTTATATATTAAATTTTAAAAAGATGTGAACTAGACAATTATGTGTGTGTGTATGTGTATATATGTCATATGTGTATGTGTGTGTGAATGCCTACACACATTAAACATGTTTATATAATGGAGGTGTTTGGTTAGGAGCCTATCAGCCACTTTTTGGCTGATTTGACTAACATTTAGCCTTTTGACCAATCAATCAGCTAATTAGGATGTTTGGTTAAATGACTTTTACGTTTGGCTTTTTATCTCCAACAGCTAAAATATGAAACGCCAATCACTCTAGGGTTTAGGATCGGCTGTTATGATTATTCCTGTGCTACCCCCGTTTCTTTTTCGTACGAGCCTCCTACTCGTTAGAGAAAATCGGTAGAATTGAAAATTGCCCCCACTCGTAGTGCTTCTTTCTATTACTGATAGTTCCTAATTTATACAAAGCATTTTTTTGGAATAATGAAATGAAATAAAACGGCGAGCAGACATTTGATTCAATTCATCTTGCTTCATTCATACATATTTCTTTACTTAACACATGTATACATATGCTTAATAGCATTAGTTTCTTGATATGATTTTAATAATAACTCCATTTATTAATCAAAATATCATCACACTAATTAAATCTATCAATTCATGAAAAACAATGTTGAAAATAATTACTATTTATGATAGAGTATTTTTTTTATTTTTGAAAGGATTAAAATGGTTTAATTAGTTATACTAATTATATTAATAAGAAAATATATAATCAATGTCCTAAGTCATTTAACAAGTTATCCGCTGATTGTAAACATTCATTTAACCAAACACTATTTTACAAACAGCAAATTCTATCAGCTAATCAAAACAACCAACAGAATCTGTTGTCTTCAATCAGCTAAAACAATCAGCAACAACCAACAGCCAACAGCTAATTGCCAAACACCCCCAATATATTGAGCATACAAAAAGGGCAAATTATACCGTGCAACCGGCGCACCATGAGGATGATGCGCCCGGTTGCAAAACGACGCAGCATGCCTGTTTTTTTTTTTGCTTTTGTTGTTAAAAAATGATAATAACTTTTTTATTTTTGATCCAATTTTTATAAAATTTATATCAACATTTTTTATTTTTCATGATCTTTCAAATGAGACCAATATTGCTTATGTAATTTAAAGAAATTATCGAACTATTATATTAATGAGTATTGGATTACAAGGAAAATCGATTCTGTTTGGGAGATGATAGGTTTGTGAAATAGAAGATCGAATCTATTTGGGAGTGGATCAGTGGCCTCAGTTACATTTGATAATACATTGAGTTACATCTTTTTATGAGCGAGTTACATCTTTTTATAAGCAAGTTACATCTTTTTATAAGCGAGTTACATATATATACACACGAGTTGCATTTGACATGCCTGAACGCGACTTACATATATTTACACGTAAAGTTACATATTTTTACACGTAAAGTTACATATTTATACACGCGAGTTACATATTTATACACACGAGTTTCATTTGACCTGTCTGAACGTGAGTTACATATTTTTTTACGTAAAGTTACATATTGTTACACGTAGAGATACATATTTATACACACGAGTTGCATTTGGCCTGACTGAACGTGAGTTACATATTTTACACGCAAATGTTAATATGTTAAAATTACATAGACAATATTGGTCTCATTTGAAAGATCATGAAAAATAAAAAATGTTGATATAAATTTTATAAAAATCGGATCAAAAATAAAAAAGTTATTAACATTTTTAAAAATAGAGAAAATAATATCCAATGTGTGCATGGTGCTCACGCTGCTATAGGCACTCTACAAAAAGAGGTAGTATACCTTTACATAGCATGATAGCCTACATTATATTGGTTATAAATGTAGGATAATGGTTGTAAATTGAGTAAAACTAATTCGATTGAAGTTTAGCGGAGGACCTAAAAGGGTCGGAGAGACACTCCACTTTATATCATATAAAATATATGTAATACATTTTCATATTTTTGCCTTTCACTAAATTTATTTTACACCATAGATAGTTTAATAAATCAAGGTCACTAATATTTCACTACTTCAATATCAATGACTTACTCGAATTGCGTGTGTTACTATCTCGATAAGTATTCAAATAGAGTGAAACTCATAACATCTTTTATCATATTATGTTAGGATTGTAGCTTTATAAGTATACCAAAGCTAGAGGCTACAAAAACACTAAAATCGAATTTACCCATGTTATTCGAGCTCTTTCAATCTGGTGATTCCGGACTGAAGTTTATCTGGGTTCTGTCTAAACACGATTGTTTAGGATCGACCATGTAATGACCAAATTATCGATTTTCAAATTGATTCAGCCAAAAAATTGACTAAGGCCCCGTTTGTATAACGGCGATTTGAGGGAACTGTTGTTTTTTTAAACTAAAAACGTTGCTAAAAGCAGCGTGTTGGCTCGGATCCGCTGAAAAACGAACAACCCCTAAATGGTTGCGAGTTATAATGTAGATTTCACATAATATATACCCCTCATAATCAAACTTATTGTACCCACCATTTTTTATGATGTCTTGGATCACTTGAATTGGAATTTTCTTGACTAGTCTAGTCTAGTCTTTAAAGTCCGGTCCCCCTTAAATTTAAGTTTGATTTCGTTTGTTAAAAGTTTGATATGATCGTGCTTTACTATTGTGTATTCATGGTCTGAAATGAGATTAAACTTACTCTCTCAAAGTCATGCTCAATTAAAAACAATTACATTATATTTTTGTATATGCAATGAGTATATATTGGGTATAAAAAGCAAATTTAACGTCAAACTTAAATGAATTATCACTTTACTCCGATCCGCATTGAATAATGTTAATTAACATATTCGTAACTGTATAAAAATGATAATAAGTTTGAGTATTAATTACAAGTTCGATCAAAATAAGAATGTAAAAAACTTAAGTAATAATCAATAAAAATGGAAAGAATATAACGGCCAGGAAGTGTAACCTCCCTCCCTCATTAGTAACAAGACAAAGTAAAGAATAGTGTTATCAATCAATTAACCAATTAATTAATCACAAAGAGCAGTTAAAAAGCAAAGTCTTTGCGCTGAGCTAAGGGCTAACCCCCGTCCTAAAAATGGCGGGCAAATCTCAGCCGTCGGATTTGATACGCGTATGATCAGATTCTGCCTTGATCGAGTACACGTACTCTCCCCTACCTTCCTTTACACCCCTCTTTCTTTCTTTCTTCCCAGCTTTGCTTCCATGCATGGATTTCTACCCAATTCAGTGTGTGTTATAGAGAGAGAAAGTCATGCATCTTTTAGCTTTATAGAGAGAGAAAGAGAGTTTCTTTCTTCAAGTTTCAACTACACTCATGCTACTACTGCATAGGTACTAATGTCCAGCATTGCTGTCAGATGACTTAGATCTTCCTCTTTCTTCTTCAATCTGTTCTTGATTTAAGATTTTCCCAGATCAGATTTGAGCTTTTGAATACTCGAATTTTAGCCCAAGGATGGATCAAGAAAATCAAGAAACGCTTCCCCTGAAGCACTTCTGCAAACTCTGCAGAAAAGTATTCCCCTGCGGCAGATCCTTGGGTGGTCACATGAGGTCTCACCTGATCTACGACCAACCGGAAACCAGCGAGAAGAGCAGAAACTCCAATCCGGGGACCGAAGCCTACGCGCTGAGAGAGAACCCGAAGAAGACTCTCAAGTTCTCTGGAGATGGTGACAAAGAAGAAGAAGAAAAAGAAGATGCTTTGCGTCAGAACAAGGTCTGTGATGAATGTGGGAAAGTTTTTCTGTCTTTTAAGGCTCTGTTTGGCCACATGAAATCCCACTCCCAGAAAACAGTCAATGCTGTTGGGCAGCCAAACAAGAAGAAGCGATCAAGAAGAGCAGCAGCCAAAAGGTTCCAGGTTCACTCTAATGCTGCTGATACCACTACTAATTCCTCTACCTTAACTTCTGCTAATAGTGACTATGAGCAAGAAGAAGTTGCTATGAGTTTGATTATGCTATCTAATGATGTCGGCAGTAGTTTGGATACTGATAATTTTGAGTTTCTGGATATGATTCGAGCTGAGAAGTTGAAGAATCCGAAATCCAGAGGCTTTGAGTGTTGTACGTGCAACAAAACATTCCAGACATACCAAGCTCTGGGAGGTCACAGAGCAAGCCATAATAAGAAGATTCAGAATAACAATGGCACTTTTTCCCCACCACCAAAGAAGATGAAAGTGGATTCTCACGAATGCCCGATTTGTTTCAAGATTTTCTCATCGGGTCAAGCATTGGGAGGTCACAAGAGATCCCACTTCATATCAGCTGAGCTGCAGGGGAAAGCTGATGTAGAACCAGCTCAAATGCAGCAGCAAGAGACCAGAGATTTTCTTGATCTCAACTTTCCTGCTCCAGTTGAAGAAGATGAAGAAGAAGAAGATTTTTTGCTTTCTTTCCCAATTTACAGCTCTGTTTGCTTATCAAATTTATGACACGTTCTCTTAAATGCTTTTTCTTCTTCTGTGATTTGATCTGTTTTTATCTAGGTATAAGTGTCCTGTGTTCATGAGTGTCAGTCTTTCAACTAGTATGAAGCACTTGAAGATGTCTCAAAGACTCGAAGCAAATTTGTTCAAACTTGGTTGAGAACAAACAGTATCATAATAATGTAGAGTTTATGTGAAGTTTGCAGAAAAAATGGTATCATAATGAGATCCATTGTCCAAATTGCTAGAAAAGTGATTATCTTGATTTCTTAAATTTTTATTTCTGTAATTCAGTTACATTATAAAGGTGCAGATTGATATAGACTTTAAAGGATGGATTTTACTACTTTCTTTTATATCATGTAATGGCTTTACCTTGGCAGCAAAGGAAAATGATGATGGACAGTGAGTAAAGTAAAGAAGTGGGAAAGATCAGATATGAAATCCATTTTTGGTTATTTTCAATATTATTGAAAATAGAAGAGAGATTTTTTTGGTGGCTGAGATCCTTTCCTCTTATGTATGGGCTCGATCTCTTCTTACCTCAGCTTCCAAGAGTATCTTTCCTTCTTTTTAAGGGCACCGTAGAAATTTAGCCTTGTGACATTGTCTTGTATATATTCTATCTCTTAGCACACCCAAATGCTAACTTTTTCTGTTTCAGGTCAAACAGAGATCAACGAAGAAAACCTCAAAGTTTTTACTGAGGTACAAAGAAGAAGAAGCAAAAACACAAACTCAAAATATTCACTTGATGAAGGAACAGAAGATGTACAACTATTCTACGAGGTGGGATATTCATCTCACCCCATGATCACCAGGAGCCACTCAAAAACCTCAAAATGAAACAAACTACTATCTCTACCCAGTTGATGAGAGGTTCGACTCACCACACAAATTAGAGGCAGCTCTTCAACGCTTCAAATTCTTACAGACCTTATCTCAAGAGAGCCATCAGGTTTCATAACAGATACAATAGATCCCTTTCAGCTTCAATTGGGATCCCCCAACAAAATTTCAATTGTTGATGTATTTTTCGACTTCCTTTCATTTCTCTTACGTTCCATCAGTTGTAATCTCAATTCCTTGTACTCAAAACTTTATTTAAATAAATTAGGGAGGTGTTCCCCGACACCCCCTCACCTAGTGTGGTAATTACTGGGGGAAAAAATGCTATCTATTCTGATTTAGGGAAAAAAAGATGACCATCCACCCCAGGTCTCTCCTTTTTGGGAGGTCTTGGATTCAATTCCCATCAAAAGGAGATGAGAGAGGTCTTGCTCCCAATGATTCTTCCTACCTTCAAAGAGTTGCTCAACGGCTGAGAAGGGAGAGCATGATAATGAAGGTAGCGGGTTCGTGTGGTGGGAGAAGCAGCATGAAAGGTGATGTAAGTCCTGCTGGATTCGTCCTTTGAAGCCAGTACTGACGAGGCTGACTGTGATCAGATCCGGATTTAACACTCTTGGGGCTTTGGAGGGTAGTTCATAGCCTCCAGGATTATGGGAGCATAAGCCCCGACACCCGGATTATCAAAAAAAAGGAAGACACCCCATCCCTGAGGGCCCTCCAACTCCGACCGGACGGTATGATGGGAAGATGTAACGTTGGACTATAATCCCAATCTGATAGATAGAGAGTGAGGCTCTGTCCCCGGGACTTGCAGAGGCCCTATGCATTTTTTAGCATAGTAACCTCTCATCGCAGTTGCCGGGATTCGAACTCGGGGCCTAACCCTTGTGGCACTCCCTCGCTACCAGTTGAGCTACACCCACCGGTATCTACTCTGATTTAGGGGTGTGTGCTACGTAGCATCGATACGGGTACGCGGAAACAGGTACGGAGATACCACAAAATCAAAAAAAAAGTACGATACGGATATTGTGTCATATTTATAAATATTAAAAGTTATGGGGGTGTATTTATAAATATTATAAATACAATTTTTTTTGAAAAAATATACATATATTATCCTCTGACGTCTACCCATTCATGGCGTTAGAAGCATTTTACATTTTCAAGATACATAGAAATAAATTCATATTTTATTTCATATACACTACTGCATCTCAAAATATAAATATAGTCAACAAGTCATTGATTTAAAATGAGAAATAAGTCAAACAATTACAATTTTGAAATTAAAAGTGCAAGTACTCAAAGTTCTAAAATAATGAAGATAGAAAACAATATTTTAAAAGTTCTAATAGATATTTCCGTTGGAGGCTTGGGGCTATTAATTTCCAAGGATAATTAGAATTAGAGATAGGAGGATAAGTAAATTAGAGATGAGTTAATTAGGAATAGGCCCATTAGTTGTGTACCACATAAAGCAAGGTCAAAATTATTTCTAGTGTTTCATTTTTTAAGAATTGTGTTATGTAAATTTTGGGTGTTTTTTTAAAGTTGATACGTGTATCCGTCAGGATACAAGTATCCAAAATTTTAAAATAATTACCCAAAAAAGGAAAATTTTAAAATTGCAGATACGGCCCTGGTACGTACGTTACGGGTATCCTAGAGTATCAGATACGAGAACATTTCCGATAAGCTGATACAGTACCCTAGTGAAGTGTTCACGCTTCATAGCGTGTGAGGATCTACAAATATTTCTTAAAACTACTTCTATTCTTTCACGGATCAGAAGTAGTTATTGGAGTATTTGTGTGAAAGTGCATAAGTACTTCTGGGTGCTCCAAATTGCTCAATGAAGTAGAGTTTTAGAAGTTGAGAAAAACCAACTTATGAATAACTTATTCTGATTCTGCTTCTACTTTTAAAAAGAAACAGAATCAAGTCCAAACACCCTCTTATTCTGATATTTTTGAATTTGGTTTGAACATATTTCGTTTGATTTTTTTTTTGATAAAATGTAAATATATATCCAGAAAAGTAGCATAATACAATGCATCAAAAGGTATCAAAAAGAAGTCTCTAAGCTAGCAAGCTAACCTAATAAAGTATCTACCGTATCCACCCCCACCCCCACCCCCCCCACCCCCGCCAATCGACATGGGTGAGGAGAGAGATTTTTCAAAACAATCAAAGAATGGCACGAGACAGGCCCCAGCTCATTCATAAAAAACAATCAAAGTAACCAAAGCTGGACTGGCCCCGAAGAGTCAGTCCAGTAACGAGTCATAACCCTCTCGTAGGGGGCTGTCCGTGAGCAATGAAGCCCACATCCAGCAAAATCAAGTAACCCATCTGACAACCCACAGGTCATCAGCCCAGCCCACCAAGATAGCCCAGCATTGTCAAACCAAATTCAGCAGCTCCTCAGCACGCCCCATTCCCAGCGACTCGGCCCAAAAATCAGCAGCCCAATCTCCACGTGTCCAACAGCTGGAGGGTTTCATCGCTACGAATGAAGCGCCGCACTCACACACAGGAAGCCCAAACTCAAACATCTACAGTGACAGGCCAGTCGTGTCAGACAGGCGGTCCAATTAGCGCAGAGGCAACCTCCTCGCCAGTTGTTCCGGTCGTCCTCTTCGGCGAGACACCGGCCGTCGAGCTGCATCTTCCAAAAGAAAACCTCCAAATCCGTTTGGTACTAGTAGTGTTATATAATTAATTTGGTTTGGTTTGAACTTGTTAGGCTAGTTAAAATATGTTCTAGTTCAATCTACTCATTTTAAGTCTAATGTGATGTAGTCTGATCTCTGCGATTGAAATAATGGAAGTAATTTCAAATGAGTGAAATATTATAATAAGGAGTACATAATTTCAAAATTTTCTATTAAGTAGATATGAATCTCTCAACCCAAGTTTAAAGAGCCGGAAACCGGCCGCCCGGTCAATTATCTGATCCGGTTGACCACTAACCCGGAAATACAACTAAAACCAAAAATAACCTCGACCCGCGTAAACCCGAACTGAAACTGGCCCAGGCCAGACCCTGCAGGTTGGCTGCAGGAATCAACTCACCAGTAATTTTCCGTTCGCCTTTCCTTCCGCTACTATGTTTGTTGTGATCATACATTACTTAGTTAGATTTTATATTTTTATGACCTGCACCTTTTTTAGAGAAATAATGATCCAAATATTACCTTATAACTTTCATTAGACAAAAATATGGTGCAAATTACCCGCATAGTCTACTTTTAGGTGCAGAATATCATTTATGGCCAAGTTGATCTTTCTTTTCATTTTTAACTTTTTTCTTTTCATTATTGGTTTTTTATTTCACTTTTAAGATAAGTTTTGCCGACCTATGCGCTTACTTCCGTCTCCTTTCTACCAAATTAAAGAGACATGAGTTATCTGCGAATCCTCTCCTAATAACATCTCTGAGCTGTGATTTGGCTTTAGAATGAGGTATGACGGCCAAAAACTCAAAAACCAGAGGTTGAATCGTTGTTGTCGCCTTGAATCTGATTTTACGATTTCTTTGTTTCGTGGTTTATAATTTGTGTTGCTTTGTTGTTCTTTGGTCGAAATTTTCTCCTAATACCATTTCCGAGCTTGGATTTGGGTTTCGTATGATGTATGCCGGCCAAAAACTCAAGAACGAAAGGTTGAATCGCTGTTGTTACTGTTCATACCGTCTATGTTCTCTGTGCTATTTCCGTCGTTGTTAGCGCTTTAGTTCTAAGACGAAGGCTGTTTTTCTGCTATTTCTGGACATAGCTGGGCAACACGGCTCTGAGTTGGCCGTATTTGAGAACCTGTAATTAATCGATACTTTGTACTACATTTGAAACTCACTGCAAAAAGGAGTTGTATTAAGGCTACCACATCTCCAATTCTTCTTATGTCATAGCTTCTAGAGTCCTAGAGTTACATCTCCACCACTACTTTCTTGTCGTTTCACGTCATGAATGTAAATAAAAAAGTTGAACTATGAACTCATTGAACCCTTATCTATGTTGTAATTGTATTCTTTTGTTTTGTTATATTATGTTGCATTTTGTTTCATTTTATTTCATTTTGTTGCATTTTGTTGCATTTTGTTTCATTTTGTTGCTTTTTGTTGTGTTTAGTACTTATTGTTGTTTGTTGTTGATTTTTGTTGTGTATTTAGATTTTATATTTATCTTTTCCATTTTTTTGATTAAAAGCTATCACACACACATATAAGTCACCTAAAATGATAATTTTAGATTTATGAATATAAACAAAAATTAGAAACATAAAGAAATAATAAAAAACAAAAAAATCATAATTATCAACAAAAAGAAACACATATAAACAATAGGCAACAAAAACTAGTAGTAGTAACAAAATAATAATAATTACAAAAAATTAAGTGCTTTAAGAAATATTAATTTCAAAATTCTTATTTTTAAATTTTAAAATTTTCAATATTTTTTCAAAGTTCATTATTTTATCTTTTCATATTTTTATTGTCTGAGTTTATTTTGACTTTAAACTCTATTAGGCTGCATTAATTTTCTGATTTTTTTAAATTTTACTTAATATTTTTCATATTTGTTTTGTATTCTTTATAAAAATTTCAATTATTTATATTTTTTATTGTTTTATATGTACTGTTGAACTTTGTACAAGAATTTTTTTAATATGTATTGTTTTATACTCCGTATGTATTGTTTTATTCTTTATATTTTTTCATGTTTTGTATTTCTATTTGTTTTTACTTTTTCCTGATTTAGTTTTAAAATTTAGAATTTTGTCTTTGTTGTTAGATTTAATATGTAGTACTCCGTACTACGTAACATTTTTTCAATTTTGAGATTTTTTTTATTTTTTAATTTGAGTTTGAGTTTTAATTTGTCGGCCTGTTAGTATATTTTTCTAATTATTTTCACCATTTTTAATTCTTAATATTCTTTTTAAATTTTTGTTTTGCAGTTTTTGTTTGAAAACAAAAAATTGAGTAGCGAGTGCGCCCGCTTTCTACTAAATTTATCAAAGAAGCGTTACTTTGAGTATGCTAACGGAGTAATGGCTATTCTAGCTACGGACCAGAGATTTGAACGTGTTATATACGGAGTACATATGTTCTATTTTTGAAAATTTTTGAAAATAAAATTGAAAAGAGAAAAAAATGATATTATACTTGTTTTTGGTCTATTTGTGTAAAAATTCCAAAAATATGACTTACGTTAGGTTTGGACAAAAAAGTTAATCAATGGTTAAATCTTCCGTTCTTTCTATCTGCGCTCAAAGACCATTGTCTCAGCCGCTCAAGGAAGG